TTCGTACCGACCAATCGGAGCACACTGGGCTCACAGGGAGGGGAGGGGGGGCGCTGCAGTGAGCCGTTTAGCGGAGAAAGTGAATACTGCTGAATACACATACTTTACAGAGATGCTGTATGAGAAACCAATGTGAGTTTGGAAAATTGCACAGTATTTTACTATTTTCGTATACCTCAACAATGGAATTATGATCAGTGGAAATGGCCACGACACCTCTCCTTTAAATGAAATCTCAGATTTGCCTTAATAGTTTGTTTGGGTCCCTCACTTCCGTTTCACTTCTCATGCACTGATTCGCTAGCTGAACAGCCAATCAGAGTGATTTATTTTGCCGACAGCCTTTAGCCGACAGCCGACGGTTTTCCGCTGAAAAGGCGTCGGGTCGACTGAAAAGACCCGACGGTGCATCTCTCTCAGTAGCCAACGATCTGTGAGTCTGTTGGCTCGGACATAAACTCTGTAATAAATGTAGTCTACATTTCATAAGAGGTATACAACCTGTGAGCATTTTAAATCTTATTTGATCTAAATGCTTATATAATCTGTAGTTGTATTTGTATTGTAGATTTAATGTGTGAATGAGGCGATATAGAGAAGTTAAGCTGTCATTATTAGGCTGTTTTGTTATAAACTGTTGGAGTGGTAAGCAGGCCTATTGTTTTTGGATATTTGTGGAGTTAGGTGGTCCGTGAGTGTTTTTTTATTGGTTAAGTGGTCCTGCACTGCGCTAGTGGATTGTCAACGGGGGGAGCCTCGCTGCGGGGAAATTCTACATATGGCCAGTCCGCCCCTGCAAAATTTCTATGCACACGTTATTATTAATAATAATTGTTTAAAAACGGATAAAAATTATTAAATTATTTTTTATTTTCAATTTTTATTTTGTAATCATCTCGGGACCCCCACTCGGGGTGTCGCGGCCAGTGGACAACAAGGGCAGAAACGTTCAATATGGTTCATGATTCAGATTTTAGATATAAATCTTGCTATTGTTGCTCCATCCTCAAGCCCATTTTTCTGAGTTTTTCTCAAAAAAAAAGTAGATTGGTCTGTGCTTGTTAAGTGCTGCACAAATAAAGTTAGTGTTGAAAAATGTGCAGTCATTTAGCAAAGCTTTCCTCATCACAGAAAGGAGCAGGTCCAAGATCAGAGGGGAAATGCTGCTTTTTAACATTTAGCAGGTATCTTGGGAATAAGAATATGCTTTTTGTTCGAGGTGCTCTCTTCCCCTGCCTGTAAACTGCTTCATATGCCACGATGCAACATGGAGGAAACTGCTCGATTTCACCCTCTGTTCGATCCCCTTGTGGCTTCGCTCTGACCAGATTGCCTCTGAAATAAAACAGATGGTACGTGTTCGGTGGGAAGCAGACTAAAAATGGCGCCGCCCTAGCAGAGCACATTTGGAGGACCTGTGTTTGTGTGTTTGATTCAGTAGCTGCGTAAATACTAGTTTTCAGAATATTTGGAAAGAGTCAGTAGGAAGTTTGAGCGTCTGCTTCCAATGCCGCTTGGCACAGAAGTAAAGCGCTTCCACTAAAGAGGACTGTCAGCCAGTGTTTGGAACAGAGAGAGCAATTTTAGGCCATTCTGACATTAAATTAAGTATTCATCTCCGTGTTACTTCACGCTGTGTCTCCATGTGTTTCGCTGTCATTTGCTCAAACTATTTATTGCCGTTTTGGATAGAATCTTCTGCTCTGAAATTCTGTCGTGACTTTGTGGTAGAAGCAGCCTCCAATGCTTCAATGTGTTGAACAAAAGCAAATTGATCTGGAAGACGTCTATTAAAGGGCAGAAATCAAATCAAATTCAAGCCGTGGCAGCTTTGTCGCCACGTTTAGACCTGACAGAACTCACCATGGCTGCGTACTGGGCCTGAGCCTGAGCTTGGGCCTGAGCTTGGGCCTGAGCCTGGGCAATCTGCTGCTGGTACATGGGCTGCATCATCATCTGCTGCTGCTGCTGCTGCTGCTGCTGAAGCTGGAGGGACTGCTGCACTGCCTGTTGGTACTGAGGAGGGGAGCAAAGGGATTGAAACATGTGTTCTTCACTTATGCTTGAAAAGTGGTGAAGTTGCATTGTTTGTAAGTTTGTACCTGGAGGTATTGGAGTTGCTGTGCATTTGCATGTTGTTGCTGCACTGCTTGTTGTTGTTGTTGTTGTTGTTGTTGTTGGTGGTGGTGTTGTTGTTGTTGTTGTTGTAGCTGCTGTAAACGCAAGTCACCAGGCTGTAGCTGCTGCAGGACCCGGTGCTGCTGACTGCTGGGTTGGGGCTGCACGGGGGGCTGCCCAGAGCCAGGGGTGGGAGCTGAGTGGACAGGAGTAGGTTGATGGATTTCTTACATACGACACAGCATTAAGCACAGATGCCACAAAATGTGTGTATTTGTGTACAAACAAATTCTGAAAGTACCATTTGGGAAAAGTATTTGTGATTATGCTGTTGAAGTATGAAGTAATGCTATTTATTGGTTTGTCAAAAGTTATCGGACGTCAAAACAAGTTTTGATTTTCTCTAGGCTTGAGGCCTGTACGACGAAGCCGGATTTTCGCTTAGCGAGCTAACTTCAGGGAAAACTCTGGGTTTACGGTCCTACGACGCTGGTTCACTTCTTAGTGGGCCAGATCTCCATGGTAACTTATGCTGAGCGGCAAACCTGCAAAAATCACTGACTGTGTGAATGTGAACATTTATAGAATTTCACCTCCCATCTTCAGAGCAATCTGACTATTATAACATTAGTGTTAAGAAAGCTTACTTAAATATCTGCCACAACATAAGTAACCGGATCAAAATAACATTACGTACAGTCCGCGGCACTGTGAGTGCAGACGTTGATGTGTCCCATTATCATTCATATCACATCATAATGTATCTTATATTTCCTTATCTGAGTCAGATGAGCCGTATCTGGCCGTGCAACACTCAGTGTCACATACTGTATGCAGAAGTATTATTTTAAACAACACATTAAGTTGACGAAACACTTGAGTCAAATGTAATTAAAGTCAGATCGTGTCTTAGACGGGGCAGTGTTATCATAAACCTGTTGATGTCGCATTCAAACACTTTTTCTTTTACCAGCTGTATTCACCTTGCAGGTGCAGCTATGTGGCTTTTATCCTGGATAAAGTGTTTAAGTCATGGATGTTTAAAGTTTAACTTCTTCATATTTGTCTAATATTTTGTTGACTTTTCATTCAGCAAGTATGACGCTGCGCTGTCAGTACGCTTCTCCATGTTTGTGATTGGTCGAATGCTCCAAATACCACCCCTTTCATGTGAACGCGCACCTAACTAGATAGGACACGGCTGGCTCGAGCGATCCACTTGATAACCCGCGTCGTAGTACAGTTTAGCGAGAGCGCGTATGTTTTGGATTAGGCCAACCGGCTAACTCAAACATATCCAGGTTAGGTTGAACCAGCTTCGTAGTATACCCCCCAGCTCCATCAAAACACCAGATGAGGGAATATCTTTAGACTTCTATACCAAGGTCCAACACCTTACTAAGACATTGTATCTTGGTTTTCCTCAAGGTTTTCACCCATGTGTTTAAATGCTAAGTGTGTATGAACCTGCTATGATCTCCCTGAGTTTGGGGTCCAGGTTGACGGTGCAGGGCAGGAACATCTCCACATCCTTGGCAGCGAGCACGGGGGTCCTGGAGGACAGGAAGACCTCAAAGCTGCGGATGTCTCCGTCGATCTCCAGCAGCGGCTCCACGTCCTTAGTGGTGGGGATGTTCTTGGAAATTCTTCAAAGAAAAAAAGAGAGATGTTTATATTTAATTATGTACTGATGTCTTCTTAAATCTGCTCAATATAAAAATGACATAATATTCATCTGAATGATTTGGAGAACATGACTAATTGGTTGTTTTGACTTAGGATCTTCAAAGTAAGTATACATTGGAGATTATGAATTAAGACATGAAAGTTATGTGACTAAATTCTTAAACTATTCATGTGGAAAACCAACAAATATTACAGACAAAACAATAAGTTGTGCAGTATTACTGGCATATGACACAAATATGTCAACATGTCAGTTTACACTCAATTCTGACTGCAAGCTGAAAACATCACAGGCTGATAAAAAAAGAAAAAGAGGAAATAGCAAGCAGTACTGTTAAGATTGAACAGATATGCAACGGTCATCATCATCATGAGAGCAGAGAGATAACTGGATTTAGAGAAGGCAAGATAGTGAAAGGGGGATGTTTGAGGACAGATAGAGTGAGGGATGTTATCTTTTCTCAGCAGAGGAGGAAACCTGAGAAGATGACAATCAGGGTAATTTAGCAAGCAGCAGACGGAAGCGCGTCACGATGCGCTGCTACAGTTAACGTGATGTTTGTTATCACAGACCACAAGTAAACACCATGTTTGGAGATTGTTCCATCACTGTGTGAAATACTTTTTCCGTTACACACTGTAGAAATAAACAACATTTTCAAATATAAATAAATGGCACTTTTTAGACTTAAGTGTTTAGTTTAGAATAATTAAAAATGTTTACAAACTCTGGCTTCATACGATATAAACTAAATCTGAAAAACTATTAGGTTTAGAGGTGGCAACAGCCTTTCTGAAAATATGAAGTTAGCACCTGCCTAAATGCTGGCTGTGGCAGGTAAACATTGTATGTCACCAGTCACCATTGCAAGTTTCCTTGCATTATGAAATATTATTTAAAAAAGCAATTCCTTACAAAAAGTAGTCCTCGAACAGAGTTAAATGATTTATTCCATATATTACCGTCTGGTACCAGTGACATGTGTTTAGTATTCTGAAACGTTCAGAAGTGGCAGACAAAAAGATTGATTGGCTGCAAGAAATGCTCAGTGGCCTGCCAAAGCACAGGTGAGGAAAACAAAGTCATTTTAGACCCAGCTGAACATGAATACTGATGTGTTTGGGTGGGAAATTCAATTTGAGATGCACAAGGTTAAAGAAGATATCAGTTTGATCAAGGGCAGCGTAACATGTGGCCGAGGCTACAAGAAAAGCAAACACAACAACCCGGAGCAATCATTACATCTCGTTAATCCCATCATTCAGACATGAAAATATGAAACATGGAGTGACTTTTGACACTGGCCATTCATCACCTGAATGTGCCGCTCTTATCAGATGAATTGGGAGACTCCAGCACGGAGGAGACATTTTTCTCATCTCTGCCTCCATTTCTCAACCATCATTTTCTCAGTGGACCCTTTTCTCTCCCTGCATCCTACTTAACCTTCCCTCCTTCCAGTTCAACCCCAATTCACCCTCCTCCCCATACATCACACAGTCTGCGTGTTGCTGAAAGCACAGACTGATGCGTTGGGTTTTTCCCGGGGCCTGATCTGTTTTTGACAGTGAGCACACAGGCTGGTCTTTCTGTGACTTGATTGGAAGATTAGTACCATCGCCGCAGCACGCAGGCGAAGTCAGCGTGAGGTCAGTATCTGGCCAGGGGTTCAACACAGCACGCTAATAATCTAAACAATCAAATACGCTAATCCAGTTAACAAAATGGCCGCCACAACTAATTTCATACAAGGTTTGCTGCATTGAGGCTTATAATGACTTCCCTTTTTAGGGTTTTTCCTATGCAGTCTTACAGCATATGAACAGGTAGGGGTCCAGTCCTCTGTTCAAGGACATTTTGACAGGACAGATGGCTGCTGATGGACACATCTGCGGCTACAGGGCTTGATTCTGTGACCTTGTGGCTAAAGGATGTCTCTGACCAAATGTACAAGTCTTGAAAGAAGTACAGCGATAGGGGTGTTCGAGAGAGGCGTTTTGGCATAAAAGAAGAATAACTGAGGCAAATCTATACCAATTGAAACATTGACATTAGCTGGCAATGATGCAATTGAATATTGACACTAAATATATTTTTCCATTTATGCACCAATATTCTACCCCTCGAAAATCAGTTTCTATCCTCCTGCAGGGATCCACTTCCTGGCAGACCGGTCCAGGTGGGTTACCTAAAAGTCCAATGTCCCCCACCCAACTGCCAGTACAGACACACAAGGAAGAGAAAATAGGCTGAGAGCAGTGGGGAAACAGGCACAGCTGGGCTCCAGTGGACAAAGCCCTCTCAGTCTTTCTTCCATTAGAACCTTTAACAAGACCCAAGAGGTCAAGGAAGCTCCATGTTGGCACACAGATGAACCCCCTCTCATGTAACCTCTGCTGGGGAGGATGAGTGGGACTCTGAAGACACAGATGTTACCTGCATACGCACACACATAAACAGCAAGTAGTGAATGGCACCGGTGGTGATTCACACAACAAAAAAACAATTGTGTAATGTCGGCTGCATACACCTGGCCAGCAATGATAGGGAAATTCAAAGGCACAGATGAAGGGTGGAGTGTGTGCTTTTTTGCGCATGTGCACATAGCATCACATGTAGTGCGTGTGGGTGTTTGGTTCTTTTTCCCATGAACTGTATTAACCCGTATACAGACTGAGAGAAGCCTGCGCCTTTTCCCCATTTCCAGCTGGCTTACTGCTGTTTATTTGTGGGTCTGCAGACACAGACCAACAGGAGCCAGTGACTCACACACAAACACACACAGAAATACACACACACACACACACACACACACACACACACACACACACACACACACACACACACACACACACACACACACACACACACACACACACACACACACACACACACACACACACACCACACAACACACACACACACACCACACACACACACACAACGGCACTTCTATTGCTATATAGAGAGCGACCCTGCCATAAGAGTTTTGAGTCCTTTTTTATGAACATTGAAAAAATGACATCAATGGTTTGGTTACACCTGTGCCCAGAACTGAATAAGGACACATAAAAACTCAACTCAAACCTAATCTTATCTAGTTGCAGGGATCTCAGACCACTTTTGCTGAGTCAGATTCTTTATTAAATACATTTGTTTTAATCTTAATAGTTCAAGAACTTATCCATCTTGCTTTAATATAACCGTCATTTTCCTTTTAAGAAATCCAACACGGCATACAAATAAATCTTTATGTACATTTCCAAACATATGCCATCCAAGAAGCTAGCTTCAATTGCACATAATTTGCTGACCGGGTGTTTGCTCTGGCCTGCGTTGTTGAACCAAAGCAGTAGCACAAACCAGCTGCATCCTCCAAAGACCAACCGGGAGTCGGTGAGAAGAACAAATTAAGCACATCCCGCGTACACCGAGTCACACCCAGACAAATGAAAGAAGTCTGCAGGAGAAGCTGATCAAGACACAAAGTGGAGCTCCACTTAAACACTGCCCCTGTAAAATCATGGTCAATATTAGAGGGCCTCAAACATCAAGAGATGATTGACCAGAAGAATTATAAAAAGAAAAAACAGAAGGAGGAAACAGAATGACTAAATTACAGATGAACTTGACAGATGACACTCCAATTAGAGCCGCCTCTTTAAAAGCATGGCGTTGTTTAACAGAACAAACAGTGCCCATTAAATGACAGCAGTGCCGTTTGTGATGAGGTTTAGACGCACTTCAATGACATCCTTATGCATGACGAGTTGCTGGCCATTGAAGGCTAATTGACACAAATCACATTTGACTTAGTCATGTTTGCACCAGTGAACAGACGATAGCAGGCAAAATGATACAAAGCCATTTCTTATCAGCCAATCAGTGGCCAAATGAAAAGAATGGATGTGCTCGGGTTGGAAGCGGGCCAAGGAAAACTGGCCGTGGCTCTTTCAGCAGCAACCGAGGGCGAGTGAGATAAAAGGGCCCGTCGGCGCCAGCCGGCCAGCCGTCCGCTGGCACAAAGGGTCCCATTGACAGGACCCGCGGCCCCCTTATTAGGCAGCAGGCAGAGGGCAGGCCGCTTAGGCCCGACAAAGCCACTCCCTTCTTGTTCTTTTTGTGGGCGTGGCCCCTGGGAGGGCTTTCTGAGCTTATCCAATGCTAATAGGTCGCAAAGGCTGACTGGAGCATAGCACTTCTTCTGCTCCTCAACCTCCCACACGCTGCAGCTGACCAGGAATGAGCCAGAAAATCACCGTCTCTATCCCCGTCCATGCCGCTATTTGGGTCTGAAAGTAGGACTGTGCCACTTGACTTTTGGGCTTTACAGCTGGGCGGCCTCTGTGCTTATGGACGACATGCGCACCAACAGCACACAGCACCCACAGCACACACCCCACACCACCACACAGAGCACACACAACCCAAAGCGGAGGCCCCTTCGCTCGCCAACATTCTCGCATAAAGGGGGGCCCCAAAGACAGAGAGGGATGCCTGCGGAACAGACAAACGCCGCTGTGCACATTCGTGTTTGAGAAGCTCAAGAGTTGCTAATGTCAGAGCACCCGGTGTAGACCAGTAGCAACAGTGTGTGGGGTGAAGAAGTTAAACGGCAGGTCCGGGTCCGACACATTCCGCTCTCCCCTGCAGCATGGCCGCTGGCAAGCACGGTGTCGCCCATGTGTGTGGACTGAACGCCACGGGAGGCCCCTAACTCCTGCCGAAAACAGTGGACCACGGCGGGGCCTGGTCGAGTGGACTCGGGCAGCATCAATCAAGCTGAGAAGGTTCAATTGTTAGTGTCAGAAGCTGCCAAAAGGGCCTC